CAAGGAAGGGATAAAACCGAAGAGAATTTACGATCTTCCGAGGTATAGGGCCGTGGAGGTATGTCTTACAGTATTATAGACACAATTCAGTGTGCCTTATGCCCTTCTTATGCACAATCACAAATCCCCGACGTCGTGGGTTATATTGCTCATTTGAGGTTAATTTTTACGGCGGTCTGATACAGCGCTCAGACAATGAACGAAATCTAAGGACTGTACTCGGAGCCTTGGGGCTGGTCATAGTCACCAGACTTCTCGCATAATGTTGTATCATTTACCCAGTCAGTTACTAGACTGAGAAGTAATTCATGGATACACTTAGGTAGGTCATACCGTACCTACAGTCAATACAAAATGTGACAGTGCATTTAAAGAGGTTATGTTATAGGAAACTGCGCCTTATGATACACTGAAACCAACTCGCCTTTGTTGTCATGAGGTTTCCAGTACATTGTTTGAAAACCCAGAAGACACTATAAGAAGCTTAAGACTTGTTCCCACTTGCCGCCATGTTGGTATTCTTGATGACAAGTGAATGTTTCCACTGCCGTCATATTCACACTCTATTTCACGAAAGTCCATGTATTACTGTCTGCAATTGTTGTCTCTAATTGAATATGTAAACAAAGGCACAGGCGGAAGGAAACGCCCAGCTTAACATGGCGTGCGTTCATGATGCCAGTAATCATGTAACACATGCTGCAGAGGTTTACTCTTCACGTCAGACGTTGTTAATCATTTGTCTACTCACAGGGACAATTAAGATATAAAAACAAAAAACAAACTCCGTGGTTTTAGTCCGCAAGCGAACTATACCGACCGAGCGACCGCCGCTTGTCGGCGAAGTTAGTGCCAACTTTAGCGGATAGAGGATGTCGCGTGGTCAGCGCAAGGAATCCCCACGACCGTTAATTTCGGTTTTATAGACCGGAGCCGCTACTTTTTCACTCTAGTAGCCCCTCAATTACGCTGACGAGGCTGAGTGGACCCGTTCAAGACCCACTACTTTTCAGAAAATCTGGTAACGCCGGGAATCGGAACCCGGGACCTCTAGATCTGTAGCCAGGAACTCTAACCGCTAGACTACAGAGGCGGTTGACAATTAAGACATATGAATATAAAACAGATTCTGCATAGGTGTAAAAACAGTTACTTTAAAGCTGAAAACCCACTGACGCGACTAGTCGCGAGCGGCTAGCCGCTCTTTGTCGCGCGCGTCCGTTAGTTGTACATATTAGGCGTGCGACAGCTCTGTAGCCTGTGTGCCGCGTTCCAAAACTTAACCGCGTGCGGCTCATAAAAGCAATACAAATAACGGTCGCGAGCGACAACACTTGACAAACCGCGCGCGGCTTGTCGCCTCAGTGGGTTTTCAGCCTAACAGTGCGCTCCCTCGAACTTTCCCGGTAGGTGACGTCACACATAGGGGAGCGTTGGAGAAGAAACGAGCAGCTTATTTCCGTGCTGTGCCATCACATCAGAACAGGTACTCTGTTGCATGGGCCCACTACGCTGCGACACTTGCAAAACTACAACATTGCAGTAGCTGGAAGTTCATTCGGTCACGTCACTAGATACACCACTGGAATCATTGTCGCAGGCATCTGATTGAACTATCCGTTGGTTTGTTCTCAGGCAGACGCAAACCCACATATGCCTTTTCAGTATTCGTAACTTTGTCACAAATCTGACCCCTCTCGTTTTGTTCCCGTTACACTCAACTGTTTCAAGTCTTGCTCCTTTAAATTAAACGTCTCTGCGAAACGGGTTGTTTGAAAGCACTTGAGGTTCTCACAGCGATGTTTATGAAGAGCACAACCAACGTTTCGGAGGAAAGTATCGCCTCCACCTTCAGGGGTCGAAGAATAAGCCGAGCAAGATTCCAGCTACACGGCGTTATGTTCAGCATTTAAATTGTTTTTTTATGGGATTCAGGTCAGGGTCGTCAAGGTTGAAAGGCGAGCACTGGGGCGAGAATCAGGTTCAACAAGAATTGCTTGTAAGGTGGTTTATGAATTAGAACCAAGTTAGAGAACTGCGGTTTAAGCATTTCGTGACAATGCGGAACGCTATGCTCAAGTAGCTAGTTAATCTTCATTTGTACTGCATCTTATACTGCTCGTACTTTGTACTGTGGTCCTTTGTTCGACTCAATTAACCGATTTCCGTCGGAAATATTGAATTAGCTTCTCATACAGCCATTTTCCATAATTATTTTTTCGTTCGATTATGATGATCTAATCTGGTTAGTTCTCCATAAAAAATGAGCGCTAAGACTATTTCTCTCGTCGGTATATACAATATCTAACCGTTTACATTGTCGATGCCATCGCTGATTTGTATCGTCACATCATGAATTCACTGATAGCGTCTGAGGAAATGATGTAAGATTCATCCACACACACAAACAGGTTTTCCTTCTCGCCTGAGTCGCGAGATGTCTGTGAAGAAGTGATGCACAGTAAAACCTCGCTAATCCGGATAAAAATACAACGAAATGCTGTTCACGGTTGAGTAAATACTCAAAAAGACACATGGCATTTAGGTAGGCAGAGGAGTTGCTTGTCTGTTCAGAAAAATACTTGACAGTTTCTTGAAACTTGCATTATACGTTAAAAAACAAGCACATATTCTGATTCTTCTATAGATAAAGAAATGCATTGTCTTTTTATAGTTTCTAAACAAAGGGCCTGCAGAGATATTTTGATTTATGTCCATCGGCATTACTTATGTAAAACTTTCCATTATATTTCTGTCTGATATTATGCTCTTCAATTAAAATATGCCTGTCCGTTTTAGAATTTATCTGCCTCCTGAATCCCGGATCCCTCATACTATTTTCTCAGACTTGACTGCCCTCTTTCAAGCCTATCGAACTTGTCACAATTTTTTTTTTTAATCTGCAGGAACAAGAAAAACCTACTGTGTCTCGGTGAAATTTTGTACATTTTGTAGAATGATGTAAAAATCTAGGTTCAATATCAGGCTTTGTAGGAATACGTGCCTAATTGATTGCAAGCCACGAAAGAAGTTGAAGTTTTCATCTCACAATTTCTCTTCTCGCTTTCTTGTTTAATTTATATATTTCATCTTATAGTATGCACTTCGATAACCGTAGAGATATCAGTTCCCTGTTCCACGTTTTCCAGTGGAATATATTTCACTACTTTTTGTTTCGTTGTCCAATAAACCTGAAACAACATGCAGTAAACTGCTACCCACGTTTAACTGTGTCATTTTTTTAATGCTAGTGGGGTGGGACTAAGTCCCTTGTACTGCGGCCACTTCTAGCCTATTGTACCAGCCCCAGATGATAGGTGAGGGTGATTGTGGAGCAATTGGTGGAATGAAGATTGACAGGGGAAACCGAAGTACTCGGAGAAAACCTGCCCCAGTGCCACTTTGTCCACCATAAATCCCACTTGACCAGACCCGGGATCGAACCCGGACCGCCGCGGTGAGAAGCCAGCGAATCACCGCTTGAGCTATGGCACGGCCCTTTAACTGTGTAAGATTTTATCTTTAAATTTTGGTAATACGCGAGACATAATTGCGGTGAAAACATTGTTAAACCAGCAATGGTATGCTAGGGTGCACACAACTGGACCTCGTATCATTTAAGAGAAAATCATCAAACTCTTGAAATAAATGGTGTCTATATTTAGATGCATTTCTGACTAAAATGCACGAGTAAATTAAATTACTAATAAATTATATTGTCGCGTGTAAGGGTGTACCCGTGACGAAACTAGCGTGTTCTAGTTAGGATGATTGGATTTATTAGCACTTCAGTTACAGTCTCTCTTAAATACAATTAGTGCAGCGCTGTCACTGATTTACACACTTCACAGTTCACTGTTGCACGTACACTAGGATTCTCTGTCTTCACTAGTCGTCTCCTGGCAACGGATCTCAACACAGGGACTGTAATAATCTCACTGAATTACACATTCCAGATATTACACATAAGGTCTTCTCTTCACAGCTGCACTCTTGTAACTAACTCTTAACTACACTGCACTGCACTCCTAACTTTTTTCCTTGCGGCTTCGTGTCCTTGACTCACGGCTTCTCAACTACGACTACTCGTAAACGACCTTTGTTGCCCTCTATAAACCTTCGGCACGGACCACGCAGAAAACGCCTATTGTAGACGTGTTTACAGTTCTGTTCCCTAGAACTGGGCATGGCGCAGACCACATTGAAAACAAGTCACGTGATTGCTACCTAGCGAGTTTATTGGCGCGCTGGCTGCTGTCTGCAGAAAAGACGTCACGTGACAACTACCCACGGTTACGGTGACGTCATTTCATCTGCGCAGAAGTGTGTTTATCGATACATTGCACAGAAATGGGTTGCATAATTCCGTTGTTCTGTTGTTGCATATTGGACCATGTTTACAGAGCCGTTGCCTGGCAATGCGTTGATCAAATCCGTTATAATATTAACAGTACTACTTTACAGACGCACTGTTACAAAAGATAAAGCACCACAGTAGTGTACAAGACGAAGGAAACTTAACTCGAGTCAGTGTTATGCTACTGTAAATATACTAATATAAAAGCATTACGTCCCTGAAATTCAAAAGTTCACGAGAATTACAGATATCGTTAACGTCTTTTATATCATTGTTGCATTATTCGCGGTGTACTTGATTAATAAGAATAACGTTAAAGCAGTATATTTTGAGAGAAGTACTTAAATTACGGGTTTAAAAGATTGTTGAGAAAATTAGCAGAATGAAATACGCGGCTGTGTAGCAAATTGCAGCAATACGTAACGAGAACTTCGTGACTTACACGCGAAATGAAATCTTCAGCTGTCACAGGAATGGCAAACCACTGTCACAACCACCAGCTTTAGCGTAAACTGAGATTTCAGCTAAGATGGGTCATTACAGGTTCTGTTTACGTCAATGTGTCGAGCCTCTTTCTAATTTAGATTCCATGAAGATGCTTTTTTTTTTTTTTTTGCGCAAGATATATTTTTCTCTATTATTCTCTACACTCCGAACAGAGAGAGCTATAGTGGCACGGAGAACTGTAGCTACAAGGAAACAAAACCCATTTTTATAACGCTTATTATCAAACATTTTCATCTGAGACGTAAACCTATAAAATTAAGGAGTTAAGGAGCTGAGCCGCCTCGCAAACCCACATCGCTCTGCAGAGAATGTGAAGCAGCAACAATTTCACCAAGTCTTGTCAGGGTGTAAGGGTACAGTGAGTAGGGTTGGCACCACTGGACTTCATGCTGGCTAGTAGAAACATCACACTTAATTATGGTACCAGGAAGTGAAGAGGGTCACTATCCCTGCTTGCATTATAAGAATAGACTAGCAGCATCATAAAATTTCGACGGACTGAGATAGTAGCACGGATGGGAAATAGAAATACTTAGAGAGTTTGGGCGTGGAAACCAACTAGAAAACTGCTTCCCGAATTCGGAACCCGACAAGAAACTCTAATACTAAATGTACTTCAAGGATGGAGCTTGCATTGATCTCGAAGGCTTTTGTGTTAGCAGCTTTGAACATTTCAGCATTGACATCAATGTGTAAGGTATTACGCTCCAGTATTTAGAAGACTTGATGGAAAGGGTTCGCTTGAAAGACTTAGGCGTAAATGGGAGGATAAAAAATGGTCTTCAGAAAATAAGGGGATGGTGTGAACATGATTCAGCTAGCTCAGAATTTGGACAAGTGGAAGGCTCTTTTAAACATGATAATGAACTTTCAGGAAATTTTTTGACTACCTGAATAGCAGTAGTTTCTCGTGAAGGACCCTGCCCAATGGAGTTAGTTACAAATTACGTTTAGTACGGAATAATTTCGCTCCTAGATGCGTCGACCTAGAGGATGTGAAAGCAGCCTCGCTCCTTGACAATTGATATAGGTGCGAAGTCTATTACACACACGGGCAGCCGTTACTTATCCGCCATTGCATGGTTGTGCCTCAGACCCCTTCAAGCGGGATCGAAGAGAGAGCTTCTCAACGTCTTTGTAACACAAACTTTGCTCGGCAAGTTACTACAATTTTGGACTGGACTTTGGTATTAGCCTGTGATTTGGACGGTTACTGCACTGCAACTTTCAAGGAGACGAATCCAAAGGCTTTTGTATGGTAACAATACGAATATCACTGGACAAGATCTTTCGGTTTGGACACAAAAGAAATAATTATCATTGGCGGGTAAAACATTACGAAGTCCATATTGTCTATGAGCACGTATCGCTAGCATTTAATTATCATAAAAGATAAGACTTTATGTCGGAGGATCGTAAATCTTTCTTATAGCCAACAAGCACAATGGCATCGTCGTATGAGAGAATTTGCTTTATGACCTTACGGTCGAAGTTCGGTTCCTGTCTGGGACGTTTTCTTCGCCGCCGAAAAACAAACCAGAGCCCATCTTCATCTAGTATGAATGGGCATTTACTACATTTTAGTCATCATTCATCTCCATCTGAGCATAGGCGTTCCTTTCGTTTCTTGAAAAGTTTCCTGTAAAACGAATTAGAAGAAAAGAGTTCAGATGCCACGACCTCATGGCAGGTGTGACAGATCAAGGCCTGTATGTATAGTAACTTGCAAGACAGATAATTTGGTGCGTAAAAACATAATTAATTAATTTCGGTTCAAACACTCATTGGAATTCATTCTTTATTGCAACAAGTTTTACCGGGTCAAATTTTTAGTTTTATTTTGTCAAAAACTAAGAAAAAATGCCGAGTCGTTTTATAACAAGACTGCAGGTAGAACCCTACCTTTTGAACTGGTGAAGAAATCCTGGTCTTTCACTCGGTGAAGGAAAAATCCGGTCTCTAGTTGAACGGTACAGAGATCCCTAGACAGGCAGAAGAACAGATTTCAAACTCAGCAGTCAAAAATATCTTTGGGATATCAAAAAACTGATACAGTACCAGTTAGTTCCTTGAAAGCAATCGTTCAGATATTCTGCCTTTACGTTGCAGGAATTAAAGCAACTTCTTGTTGATGACGTAATTCTTTCCACGCCCTCCAATCAATTTTTCGTCTCAATTTAAGCCCATTAAGTGATCTGAAGAGAGAATTTAGATCAATACCACTATAAAAGTACATAAATTCATACTTCTATTTGCAATTATTTTTTCACTTGGTAATTAACGGAAATATATACGCATTTTCACGTATTTTTAAATTATGTTGCAGTGTTGTATCACTTTTATATAATCACAAAGAGACCAGAGTCACCAGGTTTACATTTGTAACATTAATCCTCAGTTTTCAGTCTCGCGTCTCCTGTGAGACAGGGATACACACAGGTGTTCCTCGTCTAAATGGACGGAGGCAGAGAGAATGCGGTAAGGTAGCTTAATCTTAGTTTTCCACTTCCTGCCAGCAATTTCCAGCATCAGCTCAGCAACTGGCAACAGCCTTGAAGACCAGGTCTGAATTTTCGGTGTCGCTTGTAATTGTCTTCCCTCTCCTGTGTCCAGGCAGAATCTGCAGCCCGTCGAGTCTCTACAGGCATCGAAAGCTGCTCACCATAGTTGAAACGGTCGGAGCGTATAGCTCTTCACTCTCTCCAATTTATTATTACTAGATGTGGGATTTTATATCTTTATGGGGTGGCGTTTAAGCAAATGATTAACTGCAGTTGTTTGCTACTAGGTGGTGTCTGTAAGAAACTGAGTTCATTGCCAGTTTGTTTATGGCTTCATCACTTAAGGATGTATTTATTTGCTCTTGCGCGCTTCGTGTAACAGCAATATTAGTCACTGTGCTCCCTCTCTCTCGCTCCGTAAATGACAGACTGTCGATCAAACAGCACGGGAACCAGTGGCATGTATACCATAAATGGCACGCGAGACTTTTTCGGAGGCGAAAAATCAAAGAGCTGTATTTAACATTATAACAATAGTAATTCGTATTTTTATATATATATATATCAAGTACCGAACTCTATTGTCTTTTGCGATAGACCCAGTTCCCACATAGAGATCCAGCCCCCCCCCCCATCAATTGTCTCAGATTTATTCTCTGTAGAGCTATGACAAGATAAGAATACACAAAACTATAATTTTGCCTGTGGTTCTGTATGGGTGTGAAACTTGGTCTCTGACATTAAGAGAGGAACATAGACTGAGGGTGTTTGAGACCAGGGTGTTGAGGAGAAAATTTGACCGAAGAGGGATGAAGTGACAGGAGGTTGGAGAAAACTGCACGATGATGAACTTCATAACATGTACTCTTCTCCAAGTATAATTAGAATAATCAAGTGAAGGAGGATGAGGTTGGTAGGGCATGTAGCACGAATTGGGGAGAAGCAGAATGTATATAGGATATTGGTGGCGAAGGAAAAAGGAAAGAGACCACTGGGAAGACCAAGGGACAATATAAAATTGATCTTAGAGAGACAGAATGGGATGGTATTGATTGGATTGATCTGGCTGAGGACAGGGATCAGTGGAGCAGTGAAGGGCTCGTGTGAACAAGATAATGAACATTCGGGTTCCATAAAATGCTGGGAAATTCTCGAGTAGCTACAGAATTGGCGGCTCCTCCAGAAGGGCTCAGCTCCATGAGTGAGTAAGTAAGTAAAGGAAGAGCTATGACAAGGGGTCTGGTTGCTCGAGACGGAAGAAAAGGCGGTGGACGAGAGTGATGGAGGAAGGAAGAATTTTTGCATTGTTTATGATTCGGACTAGTGTTGTCATTAGGTACGAAGACAGCTGTCAGTTAAATGTTGTTACGCATGAATTCTGCATGCTTTGGATGGGTGTAGAACTTGGTTTCTGGGCTCCTCTGTTTGAGAATAGGCTGCTAAGGAAATTCGTACTGGTAATTGTATTAAGGTAACAAAGCAAGCGGGTTAAAACGAATGGACCATAGGCATGCACGGGAAGATGGAAGAAAAAACGTGTATAAAATAATCTTAAAACCTAAAGGGAAGAGACCATTTGGGAGACCTAGGCGTAGATGGGAGGATGATGTAAGGTATGAATTTCTGAACTTATTTTTCTGGCTTAGAACAGGGTCCCGGCGGCAGAGTATTGTGAACATGGTAATCAATCTTCATATTTCATAAAAGGCGGGGAATTTCCTACGTAGCTGAGCAACTGTACGTTCATCAGTGAGGCCGTGCTTCATGGAGCAGGTTCATTTTGTCACGCGAGTTTGGGAAAGATGGTATAGTGACACATTTTGAATCTCTGCTATTGAGGTTCACAGTGCTGGTGGTGAAAATGGAGTTAGGAGAGCGGTAGCGGAAACCAGTTCTTGATATGACTACCCATCCCCGACCGCCGGTCGACCCAGGAAAATTTCCTTCTGTGTGCAAACACTGGCCACGTCACAGTCATTGAGGGGCTGCACTTCCGGAGAAACAATTGATTGTTGTGTTCCCACAGAGGTTGTGAGATGGCGTTAAGCGAAGGGCTGCAGGAACACAGGAAGACTGGAAACAAACAACTGAGACAACAGAAAGACACTTAAACAGTGGCGACGGTACATGCATTCATGACGCAATCCATGTCCAGAAATCTTATGAGATTACTGAAAATAAGAAACGATACAAAAAGATGTGAACACGAGTTTCAATAAAGTGATTTATTCCCACCGCCTTGTATAAACTTGTCTGGCACACTACTCGATTTCCTGAATATGTATCCAATCAAACAAGCCGTAAAATTTATAATCCTTCCAGTGAAGTGCCTGAGAAAAATGGCTACAAGATCCACTCTTACTTTTTAATATGTTTATGGCATATCTAGTGACGCTTTCAGTAGCTAAGATTACAAAACTTCGAATGTCACAGTTGTTAGTGAATGATGAGGGTCGTTTGAAGACGCATAAAGGCCTAATTTGAGATACTATCATATTTGTCTGGAGCGACTGAGAAAGTCCACTAACATTTGGTTACAGTATGAAGATTCCGACTCGAGATGTGAACCTTGGACCTCCGGAATACGAAGCGGGAGTGCAACCCGCTAGACCGTGACTTCTGCTTACACTCTTCAAATTTCTTGATACCCGGTTTCAGTATATTCCTGATCTGAGAACAGCAGTGCCCCTGGTTAGACATGGACTGACGCTTCCCAACGAGGGAGCCCTCTAACACGCGTAGAGAACGCCAAGATACCGGGAGAGTTTGGGGACAGTTTCCCCTCTGAACCTTTGCTCTGGAAAGTGTCTGTTCCTACCTTGTAGCCTTGATAGTGCCCGAACTTGGCTTCTTTTCCTATCTTAGTTTCCATATGTGTAGCACAAATTAACGCAACCAACCTCATGGCGCAGAGCCGTTCTTGAGAAGCTTATAGTCGTTCACCCAGCATAGAAATGTACCCATTTTATGGAATCCGCAAATTTACTTTTGATTTTGAAATTCAAATTTATGATACCGTATAGGTCTTGGTATATGGTCACCAACTTTACGAAAACCCTTCGGGATAAAGGCCATCCATGGTAAAATGTTACAAACTTTTCGGAAAACCCTTCGGGATAGGGGTCATTTATGGTAGATGGTCACCAACTTTTCGGAAAACCCTTCGGGATAGGGGTCATCTATGGTAGATGGTCACCAACTTTTCGGAAAACCCTTCTGGATAGGGGCCATCTATGGTAGATGGTCACCAACTTTACGAAAACCCTTCTGGATAAGGGGCCATCTATGGTAGAATGTCAGCAACTTTTCGGAAAACCCTTCTGGATAGGGCCATCTATGAAGATGGTCACCAACTTTACGAAAACCCTTCTGGATAAGGGGCCATCTATGGTAGAATGTCAGCAACTTTTCGGAAAACCCTTCTGGATAGGGCCATCTATGAAGGATGGTCACCAACTTTTCGGAAACCCTTCTGGATAGGGGCCATCTGTGGTAGAATGTCAGCAACTTTTCGGAAAACCCTTCTGGGTAGGGGCCATCTATGGTAGATGGTCACCAACTTTTCGGAAAACCCTTCGGGATAGAGGCCGTCTATTCTGGAGATAAGGGCGTCAGACGCCTCCAAAACTTCGGTACTCAGTTCCAAATATTCAGTGCCATGAACATTTCAGCTCTCATAGTTTCTGCCTTCAGTGGAGCTATCTTTACCCAGATGAGTGCAGTCCACACCCTCACAGTGCACTTATCAAATATCTCTTGACACTGTACCTTCCCTCAGCTCCTAGGTCTCCCACGCCATCATTTTCTAACATTTTATATAGGCATGTGCATTTTTTCTCTCATACATGTTCCGTTAATTTCACCTTTCCATCACCATAACAGTATTGGTTGAAAACTGATGACTATGAAAGCATACTCCATTTCCTGCTGTTTTTCGCCTTTGGACCAAAACATTCTTCTATCCGGTTTGCGCCCCAGAAGTAAAAAATGTTCTAGAAATCGACACAGGATATTTCGATTAACTTCGATCTATAACCTCACTGCGCAGATCACACATTCGCCCAAAATAACAGCCCCCCCCCCTTACCATGCTTGACATTAGCAACGGATATGACGTGCAGCATATCCAGCAGGCCGTGACGTGCGCAGGGGCCGAGAGATCCGGCGGGTGTCGAATTCCAGGGTCGCATTACACTCTCTGCTTCGTCGTGTAATTGTTCCCAGGACTTTCCGCTTGGCGAGAGGGAAAGAAATCTTGTTTCTGAAGTCAGTAATTATTGATCGGAAAATTCTACCACTGCTTAGCGTGAGGCATTACCTAACATTCCATGCTGAACACGTGATCTGTATGAAGCAGGTACAACTCAGTATAATTGCTAGGCTGTGGGTTCGATTCCCTGCAGAGATAGGAATTTTTCTCTTCATCGCCCACCCAGCTTCCTACTCAGTCTCTTTCTCTGGGGTTAAAGTGGTTGGAACGT